TCTAAACCCTACAACTGCGCGATGGATGGCAAAGCCTAGCAGACACAAGTTCAAACTGGGCCTTATGGTATAGGGCCACGTGGGTTTAGGGTTTAAGGTTTGGGGTTTAGGGTTTACGCATATCTAGGGTTTAGGGTTTAGGGGTCGAAAGCCATCGAAAACTGACACCTGACGTCGGTCTGAGTCGTGCACACCGATGGTCCCGATGCCATTCCCTGCCAGCACCTGTAATGCTGCGCACGCAGCTGCTTTACTCGGAGGTTCACGGGTAGCTATAAGTGGGAGTTATAAGTTATAAGTCTGGTAATTGTCGTTACTGCCCATATCAGGGGACTGGTAACTCCACTTATAGCTACCTATGAACAAGCAGGTTTAGCACTTCGATTCGGGGCACCAGCTGCTCCAAAAGAGGAGTTGCCCCGCTGATCAAAGCGCCAGCCAGGGCCTGGCATTTTTGGAATTTGCTTAGGGCTTCAGGGTTTAGGGTTTAGGGTTTAGGGTTTCTTCAGCACATTGTAGCGCTCTCGGTCGCTTGTGGCCTCGGTACCTGCAGAGCGGATGGCATTCTCCGGCAGGTTCAAGACACGCCTCGGGCCGCGACTGCTGTGTACGAATGCAGCATACCTATAGTCTCCATTGTGGTTCCTTTTTGGGGTTACCTTATAGGATCCTTACTATAAAATGGTTAAACCATAAAAAGGAACTACAATGGAGACTATAGGTATGTCCAGTGCATGTTGCAAAAAAATCAATTTCTAGAGGAGCGAGGATCCGGCAGGCGCGGCAGAAATGGCCTCGACCGTCCAAGTGATGGCTCTTGTTTGATGCATGTATCGAGGCGTGCTGAAGTTCTATTTTGGGTTAGCCCCTCATTTTTTTCCTGAGGGTGGGGCATTTGGGGCTCGAGGCTTGTGCGGCTTGGGGTTTAGTGTCTGCCGGGCCCCGAGTGCGCATTACTCTGCCGGCAAGGCACAACGCTTTGGCCAAGGCTGTCGCACCCGCGGCCTGACAGCATCCCAGCACCCGGCGGTTTGGGGGTTTAGGATTTAAGCACCTGTAACCCTAAACCCTAACGGTTTAGGGTTTAGGCACCCTAAACCCTAACCCCTAAACCCTCAGTTTTGGGGGTTGAAGAGCTTCTTTGCTTCAACCCGAAAAGCGACGCTGAGGCCGGGACTCCCAGGCTATTGTGGGCCAGATAGAGGCGCTGGAGATGGGGAAAGGTTCCTGAGGACCCAGAGAGCCCAATACCCCTTGATTAAGGAAAAAAACCTTAAATCATGGTATTAAGGCCCCCATAATTTAAGCTATATTCCTTATTTAAGGGGTATTGGGGGCCCCCATATTTTAAGCTATATTCCTTATTTAAGGGGTATTGGGCTCTCTGAGGACACTTCAGCATCGCACGCAACGAGAGGCCGACAGGGATCCTGAGAGGCAGACCCAAGGAAAACAGCTCGGCCTGGGCAGCTAGGACATTATGGGGTTTCCGAAAATAGGGGGTACCTTATTTTGTGGTCCTTATAATAGGGATCCTACTATCTAAGGTACTATATTATGGTCCCCCTATTTTTGGGAACCCCATATGAAGTTACAAAGAAACCCCTAAACCACTGAACCCCTCAACCCGCACAGATCTACTAAAGTGGTCCCAGTCCATATTTCGAACTAGGGTCTTGGGGTTAGTTTGCAGAGTTTTCCTGCACGGCCTAGGAGGGACAACTCCTACAGAATATTCAGACCCTAATATAGTGCATTATAGCATAGTGCAGTAGATTATGGTATATTATAGCATACTGCAGTATGTTACAGTATATTATAGTATGTTATAGAACATGATCGTTTATTGTAGTACATTATAGGATCTTGAAATACATTATAACAAAGTTAAGTTATAGCATATGGGTAATTCTCTAAATTAGGCTCCCTTTCTAGGTCCCCAATAGTACGGCACCCTTATGAAAAGGACCCTAAAAGGAACCCTAAGTTTGAAAACTACCCATATGGGGGCTTCTGAAAATAGGGGATATAGCACCCTAAATAGTAGGATCCTTATTATAAGGACCCCAAAATAAGGTACCCCCATTTTTCGGAAACTCTCATATTATAGTCGATTCTGATGCTAAGGTCTTCGGAAGGTCGCCAGCTGCGCTCCAGACGAGCTCAGGCTTCGGCGATCTCTTGCATTCGCGCGTCGCCCAGTTGCAGGCTGGACCTCTTGGGGCAGTGGGTTTAGGGTGGAGGGTTTTGGGGTTTAGGGTTTAGGGTTTTGGGTTTAGGGTTTAGTTTAGGGTTTTGGGTTTTGGTGCGGTGGCCAAGGAACGTCGAATATCGTTGAATTGCGCCCGCTATTTCACAACAGTTGGCAGCTGGCATCGGTGGGTGCTTTGTAGAATAGCGCTCGGCAAAGCAACCGAAGCAACAGGAATGTTTCAAAGTCAAGTGTCAGCACCCAAGGACCACAGCGACGACAACCAAAGCAGCGGCTACAACCATGGCAACAACAACCATCAACAGCAACGAGCACGACTGCAGCAACAGGAGCCAGAACGGCAGTATGTAGGAGGAATAGAAGCAGCCTCAGCAGTGCATGTGTGAAACTCCGAAAACAGGGAAAACCACTATAGAATCCTAAATTCGATTCAGAATCACTATGACAAGGTCCCCCCCCCCCAACTGAGCTACGATAGTCTTCTGAATTTCCCGGTAGAAAAGGGGGTTTCCGAAAAGAGGGGACCCTAATTTTGCACCCTAAATAGTAGGATCCTTACTATAAGGACCCCCAAAATAAGGTACCCCTAATTTTCGGAAACTCCCATATCTCAGAGTATCTCAGGGCCCAGCAAGTGCAGCTCCCGCAGCTGGCTCAAGGAGGCCAAAGCGCTGGCCAGCTCCTCCGGAGAGACGTCCGCAGCCTGCTTAGGGTTTAGGGTTTAGGGTTTAGGGTTTAGGACCATGGTTCAGGATTTTTTCCAGGGGTTTTGTGGATCCTTTTTTGGCATTAACGACCATGGCTTGGGGTTTTTTGTCGGTGCTTTTTGTATCCTTTTTGGCATTGGGGCTCTTTGGGTTTAGGGTTTGCGATTTGGGTTAGGTACTATAAGGGTTCCAGGGCTCCGGGGCTTTGAGGGCTGGGCTCGTTTCGGCATCTCGAGATCCAGAGCGATTTCGGAACGCGCTGCAGGAACCCTTGGAGCCCTCTTCGGGTTGGAAAAGCTTTGGTTTTTCGGATGAGGGTTAGCCTTTTTAGGCCTTTGGGGTTTGGGGCTTAGGGTTTAGGGTTTCAGGTTTTGATGTTTAATGGGCTCCTTTGCCTCAGCATCGGTTCTCCCTCCGCCTGGGTTTAGGGTTTAGGGTCCGGGCTCTTTCGGCATTTTGGTTCTGATGAAACAGAAGGATCAGAAGCCACTTCGCAGCCAGCTTTGTCCCGCACTGCACCGGCCTGCATCGCCTGTAGACGAGTGCAGCCATGATCTGCTGGTTCCCATGGCCGAGATGCCTTCCAGACCTCCGCACATTCGCAACTGGACAGTGTAGTGGTGGGCACGGGATGTTTAGCGATGCTTCACAGTCAAACCCTAAACCCTAAACCGTGACATATACATGCAAACCCCTCAATCTTGAACCAACTTGTTTCGCAGTGACACCAGAGCCGTATAAGCACGCTGCGCAGTCCACGCCGGCTGCGCTGGAGCCTCCGAAGCACGCAGGGCCGCAGGCCTAACACTACTGCCTATCTTGATACTCCATCATTGCACACTTCGTGTTCCACCTTCGACAACAACTTGCAAGCTGGAGATGGCCAGCAACCAAGCCTCCCCACACAGGTTGCTGGGCTGCGGCCCAACGTCAAGATTCAGACACAAGCCCCGACTTTTGCACTGCAAGCCCCAGATTTGCCACCGGCCTTTGTCATTCTGGCCTTAGACAGTGGACAAAGGCCATGTAGGAAATCGATCCATACTGCCGGAAGGTTATAGTGTCTCTCAACGCTTGAACAAAGCTCAGTCAAGATGCTGGTGGTTCGACATTAACAGCACTAGCTGCTTGTGCAGCTGTTGTTGCCGCTATTTGCTACATTTCGCAGCCTAAAATGGATTTTGACCTAGATTCTCCAGTGCTCACAGCCCTGTAAACCTCTACTAAACCCCAAACATAGCTAGCATTTTCTACTGCTGGCAAGCCCGACGCCCTAAATCTGAATCTGATGTCAAACTCGAAGAAACCCTCAAGAACCTTACGAAACCCTGAAATCTGAAAGCCACCACGCACCCTCAAACTCTAAACCTTGGGCTCCTGACACAGCTCTGGGAGATCGCCATGGGAGAGTGCAGGGCGACCCATGGGGCTAGGAATTCTTCAGGGTTTGGGGTGAGGGTTTCGGGGTTTAGGGTCTCGAGGGTTTGAGGTTTCGGGGTCGAGGGTTTAGGGTTTGGGTTTTTTTTGGGAGTTTCGGGCTTTAGGGTTTCGGGGTTTAGGGCCTGGGGGTTTCAGCGTTCAGGGCTCAGGTTGCTTGTCGGCTCCGACTTCTTTGGGAGGGTTTAGGGTTTAAATTAGGGTTTAGGGCTTTGAGGTGCCGGTCTCTTGAAGGCGGCAGTCATGTGGCGCGGCCTAGGACGTCTGCAGATTACTATAATATACTATCATGGAAACCTAAAACGGACTATAGTATACTATCATAGACCATAGTAAACTAGAATACACTATAATCGTAGACCATAGACCATAGTGCACTAAAACCGACGATACTAGACAATAACACACTATAACAGACCATAGACCATAGTATACTATAGTCGACTATAGTATACTATGGTACACTATAACTGACTATAGTATACTTGTACTGCTGCTTCAGCTGCCAGAGGTGAGGAATCTATTCGCCATCCATTGCTGAAGAGTTGAAGCTCCTTCACGTTCAAGTTGTAACGGGTTTAGGGTTTAGGGGTTTAGGGTTTAGGGAGGACAAGACCAGCATCTGTTCCGGCCCAGCACATGGCCTGTAGATTCCGCGGCTTGGCGACCGGAATCTCGGCCTAGCACCGGCCAAAGCTGTCGAGATGCAGAGATGGGTACTTCTCTAAATTAGGGTCCCTTTTCGGTCCCCAAAAAAGCACGGCACTCTGATAACAGGGACCCTAAAAGGGACCCGAATTTCTAGGTTCTAAAGCTTGAGCCTGATGGTAGACGTAGCGCTTCAGAAGCAGAATTGCCTGCAGACTGCAAACTTGGCAAGCAAGAGACTTCCTGAGTTTCTTAATGCAAGGCCTCCTGGCGGATTGGCGCTGAGAATTCTTGGCAAGCAGCACCTGGGCAAAGCTCTGGCTTATCTTTTCGCATATCAGCAAGTATCAGCCATCTCGGGACGCAAACTGATGTATTCCGTAAGCTTCTTGGGCAACCTGGGCTGACTCCGATGCATGCGCGGCTTGCACGGCCTCTGCTTGAATTCTCTCTTCTTTTCTTTGGGGCGGGGCCCCTACTTAAAGGATCATGGGACTTAGTAAGTAGGGTTATAACCAAGGTAACTATACTTATAACCCCAATTAGGGGACTTATAACCTTACTTACTAAGTCCCATGGTCCACCAAGTAAACCCTAAACCCTGGGGCCCTTGCCTCTGTGAAGAGCCCCAGACCTCGCGGATGGGGTATCGACGCTGAGCCTGAGCGAAGGTGCGCCTTCACTTGGGCAAGGCGGGCCTCCGCGATGTGAGATATGGGAGTTTCCGAAAAGCAGGGGTACCTTATTCTGGGGTCCTTATGAGAAGGATCCTATACTACGTAGGGTACTATATTAGGGTCCCCTATTCTCGGAAACCCCCGGATGGCCTCGTGGAAAGCATTCAGGAAGTCACTGCCTTTCACCCCGCCTTAGCACAGCGCTTTCCGTACACTGCCATGCCCTGGGCTCCGGATGCAAGACCTGGCAAAGCCGCGGACGTGCCTCTTGCAACGGGAACAAATGCACCTGGATATCTTATCTCCGTCGCTCCGTTGTGTGGCAGTCTCTCAAGGCCGAGGTGAGGGCCGCATGACGCTCATCTTTCGAATTCTGCTCTACACTTGCCATGCTGCCCCCGACAAAATGAAGGTCTGCGCAACTGAAGTACTACGTTACTACAGGTATGTCCACAATGAGGTGCTTGTATCGGAAGCGGAGCGAAACATCTTTCTTGGGGATTTGTCACGCAGCATTGCACGGAGCCGCGCAAAGTCGCAGCTCTTCGGTGCCCTTCTGTGAGCCAAGGGCAGCGGCTTCACGGGGTCTGCGACACTCGGAGTGGCTCCCTGCGTGTCGGCCCTTGCCCCGTGCTTCTGCTGATTTTCACGTGGCTGCTTCGTTCGCAGCGCCGAAAACGACGGTCAGGTCGTAGGTGCTCCTCATGCTCGTGACCTCATAGTAAGCAGATAACGGGGAAAGTCCGCCCAAGTCTGAGACTTTCAAAAAGCTTCGTGTGCACTGGATGCAAGTCCAGGCCAGCGACGTCCGTGTAGTACAGTTTTCGGCTGCTCTTCGCGATCATCCGAAGCCACGGAGCCGGAAGTCTCTTGGCTTCGCCGAAGAACCTCCGAAGCGCAAGGCTAAGGCCACATAATATAATATAATATAATATAATATAATACAATATAATATATCCTTCGCAGCGAAAGTTTGACAGACCCCAACCTGGGTTGGTTGATCTCCCAGTTTGCCACGGTCACGGGTCTGAGCGTTCGAGACAGCTGTCGCAGTCAAAAGCATGCAGACAAAACGAGGCTAGTGCAGCTCGTGCTCCGGCACTTTGTTCCAGTCTCAGTTCCAGAATGTGGAGTAGCTTTGCGGCTCAGAATGCAACTCACCGGCCCCTCCTCTCAAATAATGATGCTTTCCAAGCAACAGTCTTGTAGACGCGCCTCAAGTTCCGCTGCCTCCCTGGCAGGCACAGAGTCTACTTGGAGGACCATGGGACTTAGTAAGTACGGTTATAAGTCCCCTAATTGGGGTTATAAGTATAGTTACCTTAGTTATAACCCTACTTACTAAGTCCCATGATCCTTCAAGCAGAGTCCAGAAGAGGCAATGCATGGCACAGACGAAGCCGAAGCCGAATTATGCCAGGATAGCAGCTGAGCACTCGCCAAGGATTGCCTCGGTGGATGAAGGCTTATAATATATTAAAATGTATTAGAATATATTATAGTATATTTTAATATATTACAAAATATTAGAATATATTACAATATATTATAATATACTTTTGAGTTTTGACTCCAGTGGAGATTCGTGATATCCATCAGCCATGAAAGGTGCCCTTGCAAGCCCCTGATACTGATGTAAGTTCCAGACACAGGTTCCTCGGTTGCCGTTCGATGAGCTTCCGGATACTCAGGCTTATGGCGGCTTGGTGCAAGAATGCTCAGGTCCCAGCCGGGGACAAGGACCTCGCGGGTGGCTTCTTTCTCAAGCATACGAACTGTGGTCAGAGGAAACCCAGACCCACCAAACGCCCTAAACCCTAAACCCTAAACCGTACACTCTGATCCAACTCCTGAACCCTGCAACCGAAGACCAGAAACACGAGGTCCAGACATGGATCCTGAGTTCCAGCCGCCTGCGCAGACCGGCGTTCGGTGTGCAAGTAGCAAGGTTCATGTTAAAGGAACCTAGATATGAGATCTACAGGCAAACAGCGCCCTTTATGGCCATACTTACACTCCTTCTGTATCCTTCTGTGTAAGCAGCTGCTAGGCAGAGTGGGGTCGAAAATTTGGGGGCTGGAGAAATCGATGCTCCCACCTGGGCCGTCGCCGCCACTGTCGTGGGCCTTTGGAAATGGCGGGACGGTGACAACAGACGATGGGTTACAACAAGAATAACAACTGACGTAGCCAAGAACCATCACAACTGAAGTAGGCATAGCAACAAAAACAACAGCGAGATGCAATCATCGTAACAAGACAACAACTATGGATAGAAGCAAACAGATAATTAGGCTGCTGCCGCCAAGGGCCCCGAGCATGGAGTACACCGGGAGCCCGACATGCGAGCTGCTTTCACTCTGGCTCCACCCTGGTCTCAGTCTCAGGGGATGTACAGGTTTTGAGGTTGAGTTTGGGGTTAGGGTTTAGGGTTTAGGTATCCCGGAGTGTCGAGGACGGAGGAAACAGAGAACAAGATCCCCTGCCTGAGTCGCGCTGGGACCATCCGGAGTCCGAGGCCTTCCAATCTTTTTGGCTCCCTGACTGCCAGCTCTCCTTCTTCCTAGTTCATGGTTGGGGTAGTATTAAAAATTTAAATGTATATTCCTTATTGGGTTTAAGTACCCTTAAAAATGTAAAATGTTACCCAACTATGACAAAGCTTCCACGAATCCCAGCCATCCCTCTGGTTCCAGCTTTTCTTCGGCCACTCGTTCTGACTCCAATCCTTCTTCGCCTTCCAATCCTCACGCTGACCCCAGTCTTGTCGGCTCTTCGACTTCCAATCATTCTTCTGCCAATCCTGTCTCTTGCCTGCCGGCGAGGAACGAACTCACGCACAAGGATGAACCTGCTGAAATCACCAGCCGCAAAAGGTCTCAAGTGCTTGCGTTGAGCCGCCTTTGCCCTTGCCACCAGACATTCCCTGCGCAGGACCCCACATTTCAGGGCAAGAACTCGCGTGCAATCTGTCACAAGTTGCCCATGACGCAAGGTGTCCTTGTCACGGTACCACGCCTGACCTTGGTATGACCGGTTCACCCATGACCAAATCAAAGGCTCGCAAGCCCAACCTGAAAGTGGCACGTCCTTGAAATGCTGTAAGCTGCAACAACAAATACAAGAACAGTTGCTTCAAATAGAAGGATGACAAGCTCACGGAAAACGAGGCAAACATACGGAGGCACCAGGAACGACAGATTTGAGTGCAAAGCACAGCAATAGTACTAAGTAACCTCAATACAGACATGACAGCAACGGTCTTGCGGTAGGATGTCTAGGAGGACTCTGGGAGCACGGCCAGTTGACGCTCGCCCAACTGCGTCCCTCAGTCGTGCCTGGACGAAGATGCCAGTGCTCATGCTGGCGACGATGATGATGAGGGGAGAAGCAGGAGGAAGAGGAGGAGGGGGAGGGCACTGCAGTGACGATGAGGTTAATTGGGAGGCAGTCATCCTCCATCATCATCTGCTCATGATCAGCAGCAGCATGAACGGCGCTGCTGCTGTTCTCGCTGCTGTAGGCAGCTACAACCACCATAAAGCATTCGAAGCGGTACTCTTGATATTGATCTTGCTGCTAGTGTCAGTACTGTGTGGATATGGCTTGCACTTGCCGTTGCCATCGTCGTATAGTGACGACGATCAATTGCGATTGTGATCGTAATGATTGCAGCATTTGCTGGTATCGATACTGTTGCTGCTACACCTAATCCACGAACCATACTTTTACGGCTGTTGTCGTCAGGAAGTTTAAGGTGGACGAGGAGACGTGCTGGAGGTCAGGTCCAGTTTTTAGGCAGCACTCATGGCGACAACTCAGCATGCATCTGCACTGCTGATGAATTGTATAGTCGGATATTTGGGCATTGTATTGCGGTTGTAGATAGCTTCCCCTCGGGCACCCGCCTGCAAGGTGCGCTGCGCAAGTAGCAGGCCGCTGCGGACGCTGCCTTGCAAAGTCATTGGCACCACGCACGAAGAGATCTCATGAACTGCAAGGAAGCAGCAATCTATGCGCAGGGGGTTGTTCCAAATCACCCTAAACCCTAAACCCCTAAACCCCTAAACCCTGAACCCTAAACCCCAAATCCCTAAACCCTAAACCCTAAACCCTAAACCCTAAACCCTAAACCCTAAATCCTAAACCCCGGGGTCTCTTTGGGGAGTTCAGTTCGGCGTGGGGTGAGGAAACTGAGCTCTCGGCTTCGCTCGCGGCAGTAGATGAAAATCGCCGGCTTGGGCCGCTTGCCTGGGCACATTGAGGTTAGGGTTTAGGGTTTAGGGTTTAGGGTTTAGGGTTTAGGTTTTTTTTTTTTTTTAGGCGCCCCTTTTACCGTCCGCCCCAGCTCTCACTGCGACATCCAGCAAAGCCCATTGGGCAGGCGATGGTTGGACTTTGTCGACAACCAGACAACGCAGCACTCAGACAACCCCCCTGAGGATCGCACAACCCGGACCGACGGATATTCACTCTCATCTTGTTCTCAGCCCTTCACATCCTCGGACCCTTGGGGAGCTTTCTCATCACTCGAAGGTACAGCACGGTCATTACCCAGAGGGACACCCGGACCATCAGAACGTGCTAGAGGTACTCCTTGATCGTCACGAGGTGCAGGAACCATAGCCTCATCCTCTTCCACGCGCTGGGCCAGGAAGAGAGCAAAAGATTCTTCACCAACCAACTGCAGCACCTCCCCGTCCAGTAACTGGCCACTCTTCCACGGTCCATACAGCCGTACATGGGTGGCCTCGTTCGAGACATCAGCAGCTCCTGCAGGCATAGCCACCTCCTCCACCTGCATCTCACACCTGAAGCCCCCTTGCCGGCCAAGGAAGCAGACCATAGTCCTCTGCGCCGAGCCGGCCGTCACATCCAGCGTCAACCTGCGCTTCCTGGTGACAGGCGCAGGAGGGTGTAGAACTTCCCACTGCTCCCAGTCTCGGTACTGCGCACCCTCGTGGAACTCATGTAGCTGAAGGTCCCGTTCGTTTTGTTCTTCTTCCTGTCTTGCTCGGTCCGCCTCCTGTGCAGCATTGTTTGCCGCCTCCACCTGACATAGGCGAGCATACTCCATTTCATCCTGCACGAGGGCCTCCAGGTCAATGGGAGCCTCCACGAAGATCGGGAGGGCATTAAGTTCAGCGGTCACCACTTGCAACCATGCATGCACCTCGTCAGACCGTTGATAGATGGCATCCCTATCCGACAACACCATTCCAAGCTCCTCGCGAAGGCCCTGTCGTAAAGGCCTCCCCTCTTCCACAATCTGCCATAGGGCCGCAGCACACTGCCTACGATCTGGGTCCGTCATCTGTTGCAGCTCCGTCCGCAGTCCCTGCACCCACTGCTGCCAGCTTGCCTGTCCCCTTGACATTGTCTGGTGCATATCGATTGACGTCTGCATCCAGTAGCTAGAGTCAGACTCCTCCACTTCCACCTCCACTGCATCCGCTGGCTGTAGTGACGGGTGTTGCTGCACCAACTGAGCACATTCCACGAAAAGCATGCCCAGGACCCTGAGGAGCCCAGTTTGCATCATGACCAAGTCACCCGGTGCCACATCCCTGATGAAGTCCGCTCTCGCCTGCACATTCTCAGGGGTCTGGTCGAGGACTGGCGAGGCGTGCCATTGAAGGCCTTCCCGAAAACCCAAGAGATGCATCCACGCCACTGCCGCATCGTCCGCCGTGATTGTTGCCCTCGGTGCTGCCGATGGAGGTCGCCTCGGTTCCAAGCGTCTGGTCTCGGTGGTACACAAGGGCCTTGCCGACCGCGATCTGCGACCTTCGCCCTTGCTGCGACCCTCACCCTTGCTTGATGCCCCCTGGTCGCTCCCTCTCCCTGGTTGTGTCCGACCTTCCACTCCTGTTCCGACCATCTCTGGCATTGTGGCGTTCCACTGGCTCATCTCTCCCTCGGTCCCCTGAGCCAGCTCCCGTTCGTCTCGCATGTCTTTCCACCCTTCTGTCCCTCTCCATCATGTTTGTCTCCTCTCCGCTGCGATGTGGTTCGCCAGCTTGCTCTCGGTCACGGCTTCTGCTGCGGCTTCGCGTCGGTCGGGAAGGATGTTCAGACCGACGACGCCACTGATCACGTTCCTCCTGCGCCATGTTTGGTTGAGCCCGAAGCCGCCTCACTTCCTCTGTTTCAAACCCACTTGCAGCCTCAAAGAAGTCGACAAACTCATCCCACATTTCAGCCTCCAGCCACTCCAACACCGGTGGTAGCGGGTGGAGTTGACACGCCCTAGTGTCCACGTCCAGCTCCAATCCCAAGTCTCCCATCATACGCGGGAATGCGTCCATGTAGGCCTCACTGCTCCGGCTCTGGTACCTGACGTAAAGTGTGCTCACGAGCTGCCTGTTGGTCCATCCCTCCCTCCGAAGGCGCGAAAGCTGGTCCCTGGCCATGTAGACGATGGGCGGGTGCTCCATAGCCATCCCGCTGACTGCCCCGAGCACTGCCACCTTGCCATACTTCACGAACATCAGGCCGGCTTCGTCGGTGTCTTCCTGGTCACCCCTGTTGCCCTCGTCCCCCATCTTCCCTCACACCAGCGGGGGCGGTCGGGATCGGCGCATAAGGCGGAAGGAGGAGGTCAACCGGGACGTCTTGCCAGTAGTGCTGGAGGTAGTTCGCCGCCAAATGTCACCCCTTCGCCACAGATCCCAAAGCTGAAAGTACGTTTCCAGCGAGATCCCGGCTGCTGCCAGTACCCCAGGTCCCGGAGGCGGCAAAGCCATCCCCACTGGAGCTCTGCCCTCATGTTCAGCTGCCTGCGTGCTGGCACTCCCCGGCTCTTCGTCCTCCACAATGCTGAGGCGGAGGTTGACGTCCAACGTGTCATTCGGCATCGGTACCGTCAAACTTTGGTGTGAGCCAACTCCGGACTGTGTCCGAAGCTCCAGACGAAGACATCGCCTCTTCGGCTCCCTCGGACAAAGACCACCATCGGGCGTCTCCGGGAGCATGGCTGGCGAGCTCTCCGGCGTATTCGTCGGGACCACAGTGGAGAAGAGCATGATGCACGGCAGCTCGTCCCGCGGGCTGCGGCCAGCTTCTCGTAGGGATCCCGGGTGGGGCGGAATGAGTTCCTCTGCTCGCCGCCAAAGTCGGTTCGCCAGCATCGGGGCCGGGCTGCACCAATCCACTTCAACTTCATCCAGCGCCACCACCAACAGGGAGGTCAGCATGCCCACTCTCCCTTGCATGTGCCCAAGCAGGTAGCCATCTCTGCAATTAACCGCATGCCACTGCAGTCTAGAAAGCAGGTGCGCCGCCACCCTAGCACGGTCCGGTTTGAACAACGCCTCGAAGTGCTCCCTCACGTCGTTCAGGTACTCGGTCCATTCATCCACGACGGCCGTCTGCATGAGCGACAGGCTCTCTTCCTCACACTCGCCTTCTAGAGCACTGACACCATCCAATGCCTTCATCCCTGTAAGACTCAGCTCCCTGCCCTTCGCTTGCCCTCGTAAGGTGTCTTGGTCACCCATGAGCACCTGTGGCTCGCACCCATCGAGGGTTACCTGCTCGTCGAGGGACTGCTGCTCCTTGGTATTCCACCCCATCATGGTCAACCCTTCATCCATTCGTCCTTGTTGGTCTGCTGGTCTTCCTTCACCCTGAGACACACCCGCTCGGGTGGGCGGCATCCACCCGTTGAAGTTGTGCTGCGTCATGTTCATCCCTGCCATGCCGTGGTCACCGAGGAGGACCGTGTTCTTATTTCCCGGCGGCGGTTCATCCATTCTCTCCTTTTGGTCCGCTGTTCTTCCTTCATCCCCAAGTGCACCAGCCGCAAAGGGTGGCACACATCGGTGGAGATTGTGCTGTGTCATGTCTGAGACTGCCATGCCCTGGTCACCAAGGAGGACCGTGTTGTTGTAGTCAGGCAGCAGTCTTATCGAATTCGGTACCGTAGTACTCTGCCAGCATATTGGCAGGCAAGACCACGTAGCATCCACGGAGACAGTCGTCCCTTGAGGAGTCGTGTCAAAGGCGGCGAGGCCGCTCACGAAAACCCACCAGGCCGGGGCCATGGCGAGGACATACGCACTCGAAGCTAGGTAGCTTTAGCCGAGGTGCTGCACAACGCTATCCGTCAGAGACCTCATCCGCGTTGTGCCACTCCGCCAACCCCTAGGATCTGATGCATGTCTGCCTCCCACCGGTCCATGGCACATCCATGTTGTTCACCCACTTCGGTAGACACTCTCTCCACTCTTGTCTGTTTCTCGCAACCCCTCGCCATGGCCTGCCCCCCACTGCACCGTCCATATCCTTTTCCATGTTGGACAGCTTGGGGAAGTGCCGCGGGTGTGTGATCCCCGCCTGACCCCTGGCTTGTTGCGCAAGCCACCACTGCCTGTCCCTATATCCGTCAATGACCGTTGCAGCCCCCGGAACTTCCCTATCCCCAGCCCTTGCACGATGTCCTGAGAAGTTCCACCACCGTTCCAACCACGACGTAGACCACCTTTTCCGGAGACAATTCCAGACTACTTGGCGAGCACCCCTGTAGGCCCTCAGCTTGAACTGCAACCATGTCTCACCAATTCTCTTCCCCACTCTCATGCACCACACCACCATCTGTAGTTGCAACGAGTTGAGAAGTTGCATTCCACTGGTGTCTGGGGCCAGGGCCGAGAGGCACCAGAAAGTCGTCCCTCCAAGAACCCTGTCCAGGAGGCGGATCCTGCCAGCAAGTGGTGTCTTGGCACGGAGCAAGTGGGCCATCCCCCAAAACTTATCCTTGGCTCTGGCCATGATGGGGGCCAGCAACTCCGAAACCGGGGCGCCGACCCGGAAGGGCAGGCCCATCACCACGAGCTTGTCGACAACCGGTATCTCCACCCCCTTGACACGCACAACTCGAGGGCCCTTGGAATACGGCGAGAAGTATACCCTGCATTTGGCAGGGTTGAGGGCCAGACCGTAGGCGGATAGTTCGTCCGTCCATTCCTCCAATTTCCTTGCAAGGGAAGCTGCCGACCCTGACCATAGCACTCCGTCGTCCATAAACATCAACTCTTCGAGCTCCAGCCCTAGGAAAACCCTGTCACGACGACACCAGTCATAGCGGGCCTGCGCATCCAACAAAATCGCCTCTGCTAGGAAACTGAATAGAGCTGGGGACTCGACCGAGCCCTGCCGTATCCCCCTGTCGATTTGCAGCCACGTCTGGTCCCAGCAGGTCTGCAAGCAAGCAGTTGAGTCAGACAGCAAGGCATGCCAGCACCTGAAGGTGTGTCCATCCCCCATGGCCTGCTGAAGTTTGTGGAGCAGCTTGGATCGGTCGACCATGTCATAGGCCTTAGTGATGTCGATTTTGGCCATGACCACTCCCCTGTGCCACTCGGCTTCCAGCTCCATGACCCTTGCGATCGCCCATACATACTCACTCGTTTGGCGCCCTGCTCCTGAGCATTGCTGTGGACCCTTGTGCTGGATGAACGGCAAAGTTCTGCCAAGCAGCATCCGACTGAAGACCTTGCAGGTGCTCGACCCCATGGCAATTGGCCTTAGTGCTTTGGGCTCTTTCGGGTGATCCTCCTTGGGGATGACAATCATGAGTGCCTCCCCCCAGTCAGAGGGTACAACCCCCGACTTGTAGACGTCGTTGTAGAAGCGGAGAAGCGCCTCTTTGCCTCCTTGAACCTCACACAACCCTTGCAGGAGTTCCAAACTTGTTGCGTCAGTCCCAACCGCCTTGCCCTTCTTGCCCTGCTGGATCGCGGCGTCCAACTCATCAGCCGTAAAGGGGCAAAAGCCACCTGAGTAAGCAGGCAAGGGCGGAACAACCTGGCCCGTCGTATAGATGGCCTCCAAGTGTTCATGTACAACCCGGTGCGGATCTTCGTCTCCCTGGGCTTCCGCAAAAGCTGAGTCCCACCCCTGGTTCGAGCCACGTCTGAGGGCCTTGACTTCCGCCCAGTCTCCCGCCGTAGCCCTGCGCAACCGATCCTGCTCCCATTGCCCCCTTGCAGCCTTGCGTCGGTTGCGAGCGGCCGTCCAATCCACATTTCGACCCGTTTGTTTGGCTACTGCAAAGGCGTCCCTGACCTCCTGCGGATCTCTGTAGCCCTTTCCCGGCTTAGCCCTGGTACACCTGCGAGCAAGCTGCTTGAGCGACTCCTGATCCAGCTCGGTGACCTCTGTAACCCCTCCAACCCAGACCCTGGGCCTCGAAGAAAAGGGGCAGCGACGTCTGGCCTTCCTTAGGACAAAGTTCAAGGAGAGCAACTCGTGGTCCGTACCAAGAACCTCGAAAGTCCCCTCATGGATCACAAGGTCACCTGTAAGCACCCTGGCCGAAAGGATTGCGTCAATGCGCTTCCCCTGTCGTCCCTCCTGACGGGGGCGGCTAGTTGGTGTGTCAAACTGCTGAGGGTCCGGCGGCACCGGGCACAGATCCCTTGCCTGCATTGCTCCCAGGAACTCTGTCGTTTTGCCATTAAGCGAGATTGCCTGTCGGTAGGCAGAGACACCCAAAGACCAGTCCAGCTGAGAGTTGACGTCACACCCAAGCAGAACAGGCAACGTAGTCGGCGGGAGACCCTGAAGAAATTCTCCGACTTGCGCCGCGTGTTGGTGCTGAGTACATCCTGGGGAGAAGTGTGCCGTCCCTATCCAAACCTCACCCCCTTGAGCATGCCGGAGTCTGAACCACGACCCTCGTCCAGCCGGCTTTTTGCGCATGACACTCCAACAGGTCGGATGAAACACAATGCCTGTGCCACGCCACACATCAGCGTCTCGGTAGCTAAGGCATTTCCAGCCCGAGTGGTTGGCATGTTGCCATCCTGTCTCACCCCTGGCTAGTTCTTGCACACAAATCAAGGAATCTTAGGGTTTAGGGTTTAGGGTTTAGGGTTTAGGGTTCGGCACTGGATCCTTTAAGGGGATCTCTAAGGACGAACTACTTACTGACAGAGGTTACCGAGGGCGACTAGAAGGGCTATTGTCAGGGTTAGTATCGGGCTTGCTATTCTGGCTCAGGGCCTGGGGTGAGGTTCAGGGTTGAGGGCTTAGGGGTACATAGGGGTCCCGGTTTGGCTGTGGAGGCTGTGTTAATGGAGTTTTACAGGAGGGATCATTGGGAGATGAGAATCGAAGGCGGCGTAGTCTATGACCCTGGGTTTAGTACAGGTTCTACATCGGGATTTAGGGTTCACGATTCATGTGAGGCAGAGTACAAAGAGTTATCATGAGCTGCCTAAGCAGAACCCCATCACTCAAAGAAAAGCCCATCACTCAACACACAGCGCTAAACCCTAAACCCTAAACCGGCCTCTGTCTGCAATTCCTGGACATACCCTGGGTCCAGCAGCGTCTCACGCTTCCTTTGACGAAAGAGAGGGTATCAGGGCCCTTAAACCCTAAACTCTAAACTCTAAGCTTTACTATAAAACCCCTAAACCCTAAACCTTACTATATAAACCCTAAACCTAAGACTTAATTAGGGTTTTGAGTGCCGTTTGTTCCCAGAAGCACCGCTCAGGTTTAAGGTTTGAGAGTTTGAAGGCCAACTCCACACTGAAGACTGAATACTATGGGCCTTGTCAAAAGGAAACCACAGGTGGGGAGTTTAGGGTATATAGACCTTCTATGAGGCTTCTATAAGGTATGTAGACCTTCTATAAGGCGCCTAATAACGGTAACTAACCACCTGAAAATGCCCGAGACTTGCTAATCATTGGCAGCATCGGGCTTGGGGATGCATGCATACATAGGAACTTTGAGGGGATAGTTGTTCGTCAGACCTCTGTAGAATACTGTATGTGTACTAGCCTACCTAGAACGGTGCGAGGACGCATCGTAGCTTGGAAAGTGGATGTCCTGCTCTCCAGCGAATATGAACGCAGGGTGCGGGGGTTTAGGGTTTAGAGCTCAGGGTGTGGCAGGGTTTAGGGCAACTCCTCAGCTCTGCAACTGTGAACGCATCCTACTGACCAAGCCCTGTAGAAATACCGAGCCAAGTGCCCATCATGGGTCTTGCCCCTTTCAGACAGGCTAAACGCAACAACGAACCAGAACCTGAACCCGCCTGAATTCTAACCTACAAGACCAATGAGAAACTCCGCAAAACCGCCATAGAACCACATGAAACAACCATTCTATAATCGTGCAAAGAAGCCCGAAACTTGTAAACGTACAACCCAAAACCCAATTAAACCCCAGACTCAATTTATAAACCTAAACCCTACACCTTATACATACCATAGCCCTATAAACCCTAAACCAAGAACCTTAAATACTCCAACCCTACAACCCTAAACCCTAAACCCTAAACCCTTAAATACTGAAACCCTACAGCCCTAAACCCAGAACGAGCTGCAAGTTCTCGAAGGATCCCCTCACCTGATCGGGGAAGCTGCTCCTCGGATGTTCTAGAATTTAGGGTTTAGGGTTTAGGGTTTAGGGGGTTCTTAGGATCCTAAACTTGGGGTTTGAGGGTTATAAGGTCTGGCTTTGGAGTTTAGAGTTTAGGGTTTGGGGTTCTAGAGTTTAGGGTTTAGGGTGTTAGAGTTTGATGGTTTAGGGCTTTAGAGTTTAGGGTTTAGGGTTTAGGATTTTAGAGTTTAGGGTTCAGGTCTTTAGAGTTTAGGGTTCATGAATCCTGATGCATGCGGCTTATAACATTTAGAGTTGGCTTTCGGAGCTCTATTCTGATTTCTATAGGCAACTCTGGAGGGCTTCTGGAGGGACGTTTCAAGTATTCCATGTTTGTGTGTGTTCTATAGGGCTTCTACAACGGTTCCATCGGGATTTGGGGCTACAAGGTTTGGTGTTCTTGGGCAATTCGGAGATTTAGCCTTAAGCGAAGAAAGGCTCGGAAACTCAAAGGTAGCGTCGCAGGCCGTACTGTAGGGGCCTTAATAATTAGAATAGGGTTTCGGGGTCTATTTCAGTATGGCTAGAATAAGGACCCCCCAAAAAAAAACTGTAGGTAATTATTAAGGCCCCTATATTGACCTGTATATTGGTTTTACAACTGAGGACCGCCCCTTACACTGCGGCCTGCGGCGAACACGAGAGGCCGCCTGTACACGGGGCCCTATGTACCTATCTAGCAGAACGTAGGGATTCTATATATATACATATATATAATATATATATACACAATAATAATGAAATATATATATATATATATATATGTATATATGTATATGTATGTGTATATATATATATATATTCGGAACTATTTTGATTTAGGGAGGGTATACCCCCATAAGAGTACATAGGACCCTTTGG